AAAAAGAAAATAACGTTTTTTTTGCTTAGACAAATAATCGATTCTTGTGAATGACTATTTTGTCGTCAAATACCACTGTAAAATAACACAAACCATGTTTACGGACCTTTAAAAGCATAACAAACAATGCACAGTTACTGGAAAAGTACATGACATTTATTCATCAACTCTCATAATGTACATTTGCTGGCAGAACACATTCATTCCCAGTAGCAAACCCACAGATTCCCAGTCCAAACCCATACATTCCCAGTAGTCCATTGGCTGCATGTGCCTCCTTGCCCTGTGATCTGTCCCGAGTGCCGTCCAGTCCTCTCTTCCCATGAGGCCGTGGGGCACACATTAAGCCCTGCCTGCCTCCTGCACTTTCACACGTTCTTCTGGCCATCTTCACATTCCTTGTTCTCCCATCACATGGATACTTACACACCCAAACATTACATTAGCCTTAAAAAACACACACACACACACACACACACCCCAAATAAGTATAGATGTGCACTACCATTGCCTGTAGGGTAGCAGCACAGAAAACCTGCAGCATTACATAACGTGCACTAAGCGTATTGGTTTCTGCACCATGTTTGTAAACCTGCGATGTCTATGTGTTGATCCACCTTGGACAAAATCAACTGAACGCCCACTAAAAGCCTGTAGCGCATTGGAATTCCTGTATTGTTATCTAAACACTTAAACTTGCCTCACATGTACATAACATATTATATAAGTAATATGGTGATTTGCACATCATAAGGTATCCCACACAGACCGTGTAAGATCATCAGTTTTAAGTTAGCTTTTTTTGATTCGTTTTTTTGCCTTTAGGTTTAATGTAATACTCAGGTATTCCTGCAACGGTAACTCCACATTACATATCTCTGTCTCAAAAGCATGGGAAGACGATCTAACAAAGTTTAACATCAGAGTTTGATGCTGAATGAACTCCTGCCTGATACAATGAGTCCATGCGCCGTCCCTTTTTGAAGTAATTCACACTGAATTAGGACTGTTGGAAGGGAAAAAAGGCAAATAGAAAAATAACACGTACACCTACGCAACACATCTCGACTATGAAGTATGAATTCTTCAAAAGGGACCTATCGTAAACAATTATAATTATTTTTACATGTAATCGTTTTCCTTTTCCTTTCACACGAATGATGCTTTGTAGACAGTTAAAAATATGCAGCAAATGTTTGTAGTAACATCATGACGTTTCAAGTGGAACACTCACAGTCCAACCTGGCATGCGCTTTCACAAGGCACCTTATGTTACAATGTTTTTACACGAGAAACTTTAATAAAATGTATTTGTACAGAAGTGCTGACCAGCAGCATCAAAGCCCTGATAACTATACTCAGAGTAACACGATTAAAAAAGAAAAGCAACCTCAAACGTGAGATGGATTCCAGAAGATCCCTTCTTTTAAATCTGCTGGAATCTTTATAAACTGTATAAAGTACAGCAGAATCATATCAGGCCTAACGAGCTATGTGTTGACACGTCTGACCAGACTTCCAACTTGGTTTCAGATTTCCAAATAATCAGTATAATGATGTTTTCCTCTGGTATTATTTTCTCTGCTGGGTAATACTGCTGACTAAAGTACAGAAGAACCCCAGAAAATGTCAGGTTCGTGGATTCGGTGCAGTTAAATTTCTCCTCTCTGGATATAGTCTAAAAAAAATCATTTTTCTCTGTTTGGAAGACATCCCATCATTCTGCATAATAATTAGAAGTCGAGGAGAATGGCGTCACCATGGACACATGTAAACACACGCACACGCACACACACACACCTGTTCATGTCCTCTCCAGCGACCTTTGGCCGTACTGCACATGGGGTCACAGGATGAGCTGGGATGTGTAAAGGGTGCCGCAGATGCTGAGGAAGAGTGCAGGTATTCTGGATAAACCACACGTGGCCTGGTTTTTCTGATAGCTGTTAAACCGTTCCAGGATCCAGGATGCCCTCTGTTTGTGCTATGAATGGCATGATTTTAGGCTGAAAAGTTGCCTTAGCATAGGAGGTTACTTGGGGGGGGGGGAAAAATCGAGAAAAATATTTCAATAAAAATTTGACAGACACGGGAAGTCTATACATCTGGAATCCAAGGCAAACAAAATCAAATTTGTAAATCACAGAAAAGCTTCTGTAAAGAGACGTGGTGAAGAAGTACAAAATACCAAACTTTGGTTGGGGGTGTGGGGGGGGGGGTCCATTTCATGCTGAAGGGGGTGGAGAAGCACGGGAAGCTGACTGCACCCACGGCGGAATCGGTGGGGAAAAGATCCAAAGAAGCCTGAGACATCGCACTCTTCATAAGTTGACTCTGTGTGGAACACGGAATGACAGTCATGAGATGACCAGGGAGACAGGAAACAGGAAGCAGAACAGCTCGCCTGGAAGGAGGTCTACGCAGCATGCAGCCAAGTGCAAATTAAGATCTGAAGCATAACAACACAATAAAAAAGGCGGATGGCATTTGTAACAGCATTGTTTTAAAATGATATTACTTCTACTGTTAAATGGAAAGTAATTTATATTGGTAACACTTGACCTGACAGGGCAAAAATAATTCAATTACTATTGAAATACAAATTATGAACAAATCGTGGACAAATATAGTTGCTACTTGACATAAAAGATGTCACAGTTCATTAATTATGAACAAACATGAGATCAGTACTTCACTTCTGTTATTCATGACTTGTTCCTTCAATAGTTCCTACAGTAATTCACAAAGTTTTCCAGAATTAATAGGTATAGGCTTAGTAACAAATAGTAACTTTGAGTTAAAACACGCGTCGCGATTCATTAATGATGAATTAACATGAGATCAATATGTAACTAGGACTTAGTTTGTGGTTAATTGATGCATAAGTAATAATAAAAAAACTATTTGTGTCGTCAAATAAAATGTTACCTTTTCATTAGCACCTTCAGTCATTATCACAAAAAAACGCAAACAAATAGTTAGAAAATGATATATTGCTTTAATGCATAATGATTGCGATAGGATGAAGAAAATAAAGTTATATTTTTTAAATATAGTAATCTCACTAATTCTGCACACACAGCAAAGGAAGTATGGTGTGGTGAAGCATTGCTTGATGGACACACGAAGATCCCGCTTTGTTTACGGATCAGCAGGAGGCCGAGGGCGCCCAGACGCTCCACCGCACTGCTCCTACACCCCAGGCCTATAAAAAGCTGGGCTCTCGCCGTCTCCAGCAGATTGATCTCCAGCAGCAGCTGTGCTTGCCCTGCATCAGCACAACAAATACTTCTGTGTGGCCTGACCTTTTCCTCCTAGTTCCATCCTAACGGGGGACACACACGCCCCCCACCCCCCCAGCAACACCCTCACAGGTGCTTGCAATACCGGTCACTGCCACCAGTCTCCTGGTTTCACTGTTACCTGAAATTATTCCTCACTGCTATAATAAACCTGTCTGAGATGCTGTAGAGAGACCATTATGAAAAGTCCGAAGAGTTTCCTGTTTATCAGGGGTATCCCATGAATGCATATCATATTGGGGCCCCCAACCCAGATTAATCTAATTGTGTTGCAAATTTTGTAATCATCCTAATGGCCCCCATTTATTGCGCCTATGCCATTCATAAATGTCAGATATAAGAAGGAACGCGTGCAAGGCAAGACACCGCTTTTAAAATCCACAGCACAGAAGTAACACAGTGCAAGAACATCATATTTTCTTTAGGCCAGTACATTTAATTAGCCTACATGCATAAAACAAAAGTGTTGATGTTGCTCTCTGTTTAATCTGCGCCACCATGCAGCAGAGGCAGGAAAGAGACAGCGAGTGGCTGACAAAGATTCTTGATAATCCCTGATGGTTTAAATGCCTCAGCTGACTGACTCTCATGCAATAGCACATGCAGAAAACAGACTGACCCCCTCATCGCCTTTCACCCAGCTGTGAATCTCCCTTTTAACAGGCTCCCAACGCCTTTAAAGATCAGAGCCAGGCATTTCGATATGTAAAAAAACGGAACTGTTTGCGTCTGGTTTAGGCCTAGTAGCTACCACGCGGGCTCAAGTTACGGGCCGGCCCGCATGCATTAGCGGCCATTTACAACTGCACGCCGCTAAAATAGACGAGTAAACACAACGTAGTGGTGGAATCATCTAAAATAAACCGCAGCCTAGCGATGACTCAGACGTGTGCCATTCTTGCCACATTTAGCAAAAAAAATAAATCACCGTAACTCACAAGCAGCCAATCAGCACCTCTAGCCTGTGTTGTTACTTGACTGGAAATACAACAACTATTATAACAACTATAATAACTTTCATATATGAGTTTGCCCTTTATGAAATCCTGCTATGTGCATTATGTTATATAATGTGATTGTATTTTTGACAGCAGAAGGTATCAGTCTTTTATAATAGATCTCCTGGATCTATGGAATAATCTACCTGATCATGTTTGGGAGTCAGTCACACTCTCCATATCTGAATCTGTGCTTATGAGTAAAAACCTACTCAATCTCTAAAATGGCCTGCTGGACAGACTGTGAATCCTAATCCCAGGGCAGCCCTGTCACCTTGACATTGCATGCGACTCCTGCTATTAGCTTTGCAGGGGGTGATTTGTGGCTCAATGGGTTAGGGCAGTGTTTCCCAGCCCAGTCCTCGGGGAACCCTGGACAGTCCACGTTTTTGGTTCCTCTCAGCTCTCAGCGCACCTGTACCAGGGTGTCCCTGATTGGCTAGGAGCTGAGAGGAAGCAAAAACATGGACTGTCTGGGGTTCCCCGAGGACTGGGTTGGGAAACACAGGGTTAGGGCACTGTGTGTGTGTGTGTGTGTGTGTGTGTGTGTGTGTGTGTGTTTAAGCAGAATTCTGTTGGTTCAAATCGCAGTATTGGCAGTGTGATTTTTACCATTGAGCAGCACGTATGTTTGTCATGAGCTATTCGCTTCACTTGTACTTCCAAGTATGCTTACACAATCATCTATATCAGCCCAACACTCAGGACCTAATTTCCACTTTTCTCCACGTTGATAGCCTTCCTGTTCATCAATCTCCTCTCAGAAAAATTACCATAAAGTGACTCGTGACACACATCTACAGAACAGAATACAAATGTTGATAGTAAATCGGTATGATTGATTGATTTTTCATTTTGTCATAATCCTCTAATGATAAAAAAACAGACACGCCCACTCAAAGTGTTTTATCCTGACAGAAGCATACTTATAGGTCTCTGTCTCTGTGAAGGAATTCGCATGGTACTGAAATTTAAGGACAGCATGTTATTGCAGTGTATGGTAATACGTAAAGCATGTGCTGGTGCAGAGGTCTACAGCACCAAAGCTCACTGTGATCCTTCTACTTCCTCTAGGCAGGTTTCAGGCACTTTAATGTCACTTTTATTCCCATTATTTTATTATTCAACCAATAATTTAACCCAAATCAGCAAATTTGTCACACAATTATATTGCATAGCTTAAGGACCCTTTTAAGTACAATTTCAGGGCCCATTTCTGTGACATAAATTGGACAAAATCACAGGTCATGTGTCCTTAACCACACAAACTGCTGGCCAAGAGTACAACTGCAGAATATTAAGAGAATTTTCGCTAACCACGCTGCACCCCCCCCCCAATACCAACATACATACTAACTGCAGGAAGTAAAACACTGAAATGCCAGGTTATTTTTCATGAAAGATTAGTTTAAACTATGCAAAGGATAATATTTTTACTTGTACCCAAAGGCACAAGCCATATTTTACTGCCTGTATGTCACATGCTTTTTATTACCAGATTACGATACATTTATTATTAGACATATTAGCATCTAGCTGAAAACTGAACCCCAGTAATAATCGCGGGCTGTTTAATTTAGTGATTAACCACTATAAAACGTAACTGTATAGCCTAAATGACAGACTTGCTCTCCTCGGCCTGCATAAAATGACACACATAATACCGTTGATCTTTGGTGCAGCGTGAGGTGTTTTGCTTGTGATTATTTCTGTCACATTTGATACAGTAAATTAACTTGCAGCGAGGCTGTGACCGACTTCCTATAAAGGTTTGAACAAGGATAGCAGGTGAAAAGGATCTGTATATTATATTAATATGTGTTGACAGTAACACATGACTAAAAGTTCCATTAAATGTCCATTTTCATTATAGATACCTTCATGCTATAAATATTTATCAAAGGCATACCACGATATCGTCATGTTTATTATGCATTATGAATGCTCTAAAATACCTTTATAATGAATTATACTGACCATTATAATACATTATAAAGATCACTTTATGAGAGCTTCATAGAGCAATCATAATCTAATAAACATGGCTATAATGTGGTATGCCTTCTGATAAATATTTATAGCCATGTTTATAATGCTTTATGAATGCATTACAATGCATTATGAAGGTATCTATAATGGATTTATATGACTGCTTTAAGTAAAGTATTACTCTGTTAATGGTCATGCATAGAAAATATATAGAAGATTTTCTATATAATTTGTACAATCCTGGTGACACTTTTTGTTTAAAGTAGTATAAAATTAAAGGGGAAACCAATATTGACCAGAGCATTTTTGACCGCCAGAGATCTCTAGATTAAGCATGTTCTTAATGATGTATTTCCTCAATTCAGACTCAGGGCGCTTTGGGAAAAACACGAAAACAGCTACCAAGAAACACACCACAAAGCAAGCATCTTTATGGGATGTTAGCATTTAACAGGGGAGGAATGTCACTTACGTGTCAGGTCTGTCGCACTTTTACCTGTGCTCCACTACAAAGCTCATGGTGGTTCCATCAAAAGAAGGAGGGGCGATGATCCTAGGCCCTTGTTGTGAGGTGATGCTGATGATGGGCTTACTATTCGTAACCCCTTTGGTGCCCCTAGTGGTGACTTGCTGGGCCTGCAGGGCCTTCCCTGTGGGGCTATAATACGGCCCCTCCAGATAGGCAACATCTCCCTGCAGGCTCTTAGTCGGGGCCCTATCAGTATCCTCTGATTCGGCGCACACAGAGATTGTGGGCGGAGGCCGAGCAGGCATGACGGGTGGGCCTGGCAGGAAGCTGGGATAGATCATGTAGGCGGGGCCGTAGGGGGCTGGATTGAGTGCCAGGGGGGGCATTGGCATGGGCAGCGACGCCACTGGCGGCTGCGGCATGGGCACGTCCACGTACTGCCCCGTCTCTGGGTCAAACAGTCTCCTGGTGGCCGGCTGGATGGGCGTGTCCACCAGATAGTAGTGTCCCGTGGTGGGGTCCAGCAGCATTTTCCGCTGCATTGGCTGGAACGGGTCGCTGGGAGTGGGCGGAACCGGCGCAGACGAGAAACAGATCACCTGGGGCTGTGCCATGGGGATGGAGTGATGGTAAATGGTCGCGGTGGGGGTGTCTGCCGAACGGGTCTCCATGACCACTGTTGACCTCTTTGGCGATTGGCTACTGCTGTTGTGTCTGCTGGCGTTGCTCAGACTCTCGCCCTGCCCGCTGGGACTGCTGGCCCGCACCTGCCCCCTAGCTGCCGTGAAGGTATACACGGCCTGCTCTCGCACCATCGCGGCCGCCGGTTTGCCGTCGCCAGCGTGGGACTTGACTGGTATGGTCAGGTAGTTCTCCGAGTTAGATACAGCAGACATGTTGGCTAGTACAGAATTCTCTGCCTCATCATTATTTATCGTCTCCCTCTCGTCGACTGTGCCCTTAGGGTGAGATATCTTTAAGGACGTGGTTTCCTTGGCAGCTTTCGGAGCAAATGTTTTAGAGCTGAAAGGTGTTTGTGAAGAGGCGCACGCCTGAGACCCCCTAGTGCTCCCTCCACTTGCAGCTGCCTTTTGACTGTGCGTGAAGGTGAAGGCATTTTTACTACCAAGTGCTCCACTTTGTAGAGATTGTGATCTGGGTGCATCTTTCTCCTCCCAGCTAAAGGGAATGTGGAGCATTTTCAGCTGCTCTCTGTCCTCTCGGAGCAGCGCCGTGGTCGACATGCTTGCCAGGGATCTCTCCATGTCTGAGTAAGAATCGCTTCTCTTGAAGTGCTTGCTGTGGACATCAGCTTCTGTACTGCCCGCGTACCCTGCATCCTCCTCCTCTGACTCTGTTTTACCCAGAATCCCATGCTCCTCGCTGGCAATGAGGGAGAGCACATGACTGTCCGTGATTGGCTGGGGCTCACTCTTGCGCTTCCATTCGTTCCTGTCAAAGACATACAGCTGCTCCATCGTTTTCACAGCAGCCTGTAGTTTCTCAAAGGCAGCCTGGTTGGCCATTTTGGATTCTGGTTTCTTCTCACTCGTATCAGTAGCCTTATCCTGTTTCCTTTTGGAGCTTACAATTTCAGTTTTCCCCTCGACAGGCGGTTCCGAGGGGTCACCGTTCAGCAACTTAGCAGTAACCAAGGAAGGCCTGCTTGCAGATGGATATACAAGTATGGGGCCACTGTCAGCGCCCTCTGTCGGTACTTGAGGGGACAACCTTTCCCACTCCGTCGTAATATCGGCAGGTCTGCGTTTGGGCACCTCTATTAGATTTCCAGATCGTTTCACATTGCTATTTGTATTCACGGACTGACATTTAATAACTATCGGTGAGACCGACGACGGGTTTCTCGAAGGCCCAGGTTTGGGAAGGCTGTGCTCCGCGAGGACGTCTGAGGCAGCGGCAGTTTTGCTCTCGTTCGCATCCGAAGAAAAGTGATAGGAGCTTTTAACCAATTTCCGCACGTCTCTGACCTGGTGAATTGGCGTTTGCAGCTTGCTCTTGTTATCTCGGATGTCTCGGACCATGAAGTGCGGCACTTTCTCCGCCGCGTCTCCCTTTAATGACACCGCGTGCGCTTGGCATTTGGAGTCATCAGCTGTCTTTATCAAGCCGGTGGCATTGCAGCCTATATTGGGAGTTAGCAGCTTAGCAATGTTAAATGGATTGCCTTTGCTGTCTTTCACGCTCCGTAAACTTATTTTGATTTCCGGAGACTTCGATGTGACAACACTCCTCGCCGTGTCCGCCACGTATAGAGTGTTGTCCAAGCGCACTTTGTCTTCTTCTGTCTGATGCGCGGCCGTGCGGGTTGAATATTTCATATTCGGCAGCTGTTTCCCGGTCCCCCTCTCCTCGGACATAACATGTATACTCGGTACAAACAAATGCGACATTTTAGTCAGCCTGCTGCCGCCCACTTCGATCTCTACGTCTGTTTTCCCCAGTTTGCCAGTTGACGAGTGCGGTCTTCCCGCTGGAGTTTTATCGCTTTTATGTTCCTTTTCAAAGTGTTGCTCACCGTCCTTCCAGGATCTGAATGCGCTATTCTGGCTACGAAGCAGCGTGCTTTTGGACGCTTCGAATGCTCCTTTTTTAGTATTGAATCCAGCTTCATTTGTGGGCTCTAAATTAGTTCCTGATGCAAGAGTTAAAGTGTCTTCTCTCTGAATGTCGTCCTTGGGATCGCACGAATTGTTGTCCCCTAAGTCCGCCAGGTCGTCCAAACACACAACCGTGAGATCCGAACCCGCCTCCGAAAATTTCGAGGTCTGCCTTTGCAAGGATCTCGCGCCATCCGCTCCTTTTTCCTTGTGCATTTCGTGATCTTTGAAAAAACAGCAAGGGGAGAGCGCCGGGGGGGGTTCGCATATCTCCCCCCTTTCCATCTTGCGTTCCTGCTCAAACTGCATTTTCTTAGAAATGACATTTTTGAGAAGGCTCGTCGCGAATATGGCTTTCTTGTGTGCGCCTTCCATGCTCACCTCTGCGTTACAAGGCTGCCTGCTGGCTTCACCCCCCCGCCTGCTTGGCAAGACGCAGGTAACTTCATCTCCGGAACGTGATCCTGTTGCATTTTGAGCGAATTTTGCACGTCTTTCGCCTCCGGGGACCCCTGCTTGCACATTGCAACGAAAATTTAACGTTTCCGTTAGTGTTATAACCCCTCTCCGTCCTTTCCCAAACGTCCCCATTACTTCCATCTTCTTGGTGGAAGATGATGCGTTTTTGGGGTCTGACAGATTACCATTCAAACCAAATATTTTAGTCTGTGGCGCTTTTATGTTGGCTAAAGGCAGCCCCTTAATCGTCTTTCCAGCATTCTTATCGATTGCACTTATCGTGGCACTTTTATGGGAGACTAAATTTTTCTCTCTCGCGCGTGTCATGTCATATTTAAGGTCAACAAATGCGGACCACCCGTTAATTCCCAGCCCGTGCTCTGAGGCGGAGGACTCGCTGGAGGTACTGAAATTGATGGCATCGAAATACGGGCACGCTAAACTTTTGAAGGCTCTGGCTGTTAAGTTGCGCACCTCTTTATCAGCATCATCCAATTCACTGACTGCGCTAGACGCGCCACTCGAATACTCGTTTATGTCTTTCCCTTTTATTTTAGTACCAAAGTGCAAGCGTCCGGGGGCCGCAATGAAACATTTTGCACTATCACAGATTTTCTCTGCCTTTTTATCAGCTCTTCTAAAGACATGGCGACTCATATCCCCCTGGTGCTTGGCATAACACCGAATGTTTTCCTTTTCTTGGGCGCCGCTAGGCTCATTTATAGTTCTGGAAGTCGCCTTGATTGACAGGTGAATCTGCCCCGCACAGTTACCGCTGCCGTTTTGGTTCTTTGACAGACTTTCATCCGAGCTGACGCATTTGTTCATATCACATAGATCGTTTTCAGGCTTAGTGCTGACCGCTGCTCCGCCAGTAGCGCGCCTGTCTGTATTATTAGCATGGACCTGATTGCTTTCCACTCGCTCTAGGCTCTTCTCCTGTCCTGCACCTAGCTTTTCTTCACTGTCAAACGAAGCATAATCAATAAACGAGCACGCCAGATTATTGTCTTCAATGTCCCAACAGGATCCTGTTTCGAAGTCATAATCTGCATCATGATCTAGTTCGGAGAGCTGAATTTCATGCGTTGTAATGTAATGAGATTCGTCGTCCGTAGCGCTGGGCATGCGGTGATAGGACAACAGGACGCCAACACCCTCCACCGGGTCACCTTTTCTGCTTATATACATGTCACTGTACTGCAGCGCTTCCTTATTAATAGATCCAATTTCTGGATTGAACTTTCGGGGTACGAGTTGGGATCCTGGAACCGCGTCTCCGTTTCCAGTGGATAATTCGAGGCAGTCCCTGAAACTTTTGTCGGGGATTTCACATGAAGAGGAAGCTTGGAATGCGCCCGTAGTATCTCTTAATATCTCATCTGCTTTGTCGCCCCCCACGTCTTTTTCATTGATAGATCCGCAGTTTGCAGCGGGGAGATCGGCGACATCGTTCGGTTCGTGATCGCCTGTGGTTTGATCTCCTGAAGTCGAATGTGAGTCACTGCTGCGCTTGAATACAGCCAGCTGGTTTCCTTCACCGGTAAAAGTTACTTTAACCGTTTTTGCGCCATCGGCTTTAATGTCGGCTGGGCCATTTAGGTCCACGTAGTTCGATTCGTCTTGTTGTGCCATAGAGTCAAACATGTTTTTGACGGTCGGCTTCGTTGTAGCGCCGGTGTCTTCTCGGTAAGTGACAGTCTTCTGGGGTCTCTACATCGTTCCTTTATGAGGTCTCTATTAAGGATACTGTTACTGGGCAGGAGCTGGAAAAAAAGACAGAGACACACTGAGAAGGTCCCAAAAATCCTCCCCGATGCCCCATGTGCCGAGCAGAGTCCCTCATGCTGTTGCTCTGCACTTATGCTCTAGTGGACAGTGGTTTGAGTGGCGCTGGGGTGTAATTTCGGATATCATTGCTAGCGGCATCGGCATTCCTGTGGCCTGACTTTGAGAGGCTTAAAGCAGAGTATATGGAAACTTAAACTTTTACTGAAAGACTAAATCCAGCATTTGCATAATAAATGGCATTGCGCCGTGTGGAAGTATCATGTGTACTGAGCTATTAATAAATAAACTAATAGGCTAATAATTTATCCTTAACTATGTTGATAATAAAGTGGGCTTATTGCTAATATGACGCTTTAGCTGATGTTTTGGGTCTGGAAGCATGGAAGTGGAGCTTCTTTGTGCTGGGGTGGAGTGGAGAGTAAACGTTTCCGGATGCATAGGCCTATAGAATAGGTATTAAAAACAAAACGATGACGAAATGATATGGGCTATTTTAATAGCGCACGAGTGGAATCTATAGTTACACAAAGGATCTTTTACTGACACGTGTCTCCCAAATGTTATTGCCAGGATTTATTTAGACTGTATAAGCCATTTACGTATTTAGCATTCAACTTAACAAGTTAAGGTAGTCTGTTACATTTAATGTGCCGTTTTAATTGGCGTCCTACGATTATTTGAAGGTTATGATTGACGTCTGTTCTTTGATTTTTTTATGTTTTAATATTGTTTTACACAAAATATATAAAACAGCGATGTATTTTTCACAAACAATCTACACTAATATGGCTTGTTTGGTCACCATTTTAGCCCTGATTCAGCACCTCGACCAGTGGACAGCACCCATTCTAATTTTGCTTTTCTTTCCACATTATTGTTATTGTATGAGTTTCCAGACAGGGCAGTTCAGTGGTTATAATGACTGGCGCATTTTAGCCTCTTCTGGCACCTCAGATTTATTGAATACAACAGAGAAGAGAACACGGTATCCCAGGAAAACCAGTAATGGCATGTTATGGATTAATTGATCTCTTGCCGAATTCGAGCAGTTAGTAAGCTATTACTGTATGCAAATCTCTCATACGTCATCCATCCACCATTCATCTATCCATGCATTCGTCTTCATATGGCTTCATACAGTGTATGGTATATAGTGAGCTTGGGACACCCTGGATGGAATTCTATTCTGTTGCAGAGAAAATACAAAAACAATTACATACCATCGGCAATTTAGAGACAATGAAAATCCAATTAAGAATCACTTTGTTTTTCAATAGGACAATGAGCCAGCACACACCTGCAGTCTGTGTAAGAATTATTAGTAGAGTCATGAAGTGAGACAGCAGGTAATCTAGCCTGCAGAATCACCGACCTGAACCCAGCAGAGATGGTTTGGGTTGAGTTGCATTGTAGAGTGAAGGAAAACTGTTCAACTAGTGCTCAACATATGTGCAAACTCTTTGAAGGTGGTTGGAAGAGCATCCCAGGTGTCTACCTCGTGAAGCTGGGTGAGAGAATTCCAAGAGTGTGCAAGGTCTCCATCAAGACAAAGGGCTAAAAGAATGTAAAGTATAAGATCATTTGATGTCTTTGTTATTATTGTGAAATGTATAAAATCCTAAAAATAAAGAAACTCTCCTAGGAATAGACGTGCCCAAACTTTTGACTGGTATTTTATATATTATATATATAGGCTGTTTTGCTGAGGCATGTGTTTTCTTTATATATTGCAAGTTAAAGAGATTTATTAGTGTCATGTTTTCCAGTAAGAAGTGAATGTGATCATAGGGATCCAGTTCTCTTAATTGGAGGTTTCAGGTGATTGGCCTCAGTGACCTTATTGGCCTCAGTGACCTTTTCTCTACAGGTGGTGCTGGACAGCATGATGCATGCTAGCTCACAGGCCAGCTCACAGGCTGGCTCACAGGCTAGCTCACATGCTAGCTCACAGGCCAGCTCACAGGCTGACTCACAGGCTAGCTCACATGCTAGCTCACAGGCCAGCTCACAGTCTGACTCACAGGCTAGCTCACATGCTAGCTCACAGGCCAGCTCACAGGCCGGCTCACAGGCTGGCTCACAGGCTAGCTCACAGGCCGGCTCACAGGCCAGCTCACAGGTTGGCTCACAGGCTAGCTCACATGCTAGCTCACAGGCCGGCTCACAGGCCAGCTCACAGGCTGACTCACAGGCCAGCTCACAGGCCAGCTCACAGGCCAGCTCACAGGCCAGCTCACAGACACAGCAGCCATGGTCTGTCTTACACAACCTGCTAGGGAGGGTTTAATAACTTTAATCCAAATAAGCACCTTTCAGTGGGCCATGATGAAGGTTTTGATCAGTTCCCTGTTCCGGTCACATCAGTTGCACTTGTGTGTAGAACCTCATGTGAAATGGGTAATTTAGCTCTTATTGACCAATGGAAAATCAGTTATTTCAAAGATAAAAACTATTTAAAGAATTTACAAACGCAAATGTTTCATTATTCCAAACAAACGAATGAATAAAAACAGACAAATATCTGAACAAACAAACAAGTAAGCAAACAAGCAAATGAATGGATGGATGGATGGATGGATAAATAGCCATATTCCAGTTTACCAACTAGTAAAAGTTGACCAGCTGGTAAACTGAGCTTGATGCATTGTCATCACAATATAATGTGGTCCTCAACGATATTAACATATACACCAATGAGATTTGCTCAAAGGTTCTTTGCTATGGCAACAGAGTCTAATTTACAATGGCTTATTTCTATTTTCAATGACTATCTCTCGATGGTATTCAATTAATGCATTTTTCCCAGAAAAGAATTATTGTTCAGGGAAAATTGTATGAATTACCTGGAACCAGCAAACAGGTATCAGATGTGCGACCTTTAGTCCATAAGATAGACAAGAGAAAACCTTCATCTGTCATAGTGATTGCAGGTGGCTGCCCGCTAATGAGGAGAGCACAGGCTGCGGGGCCGTGGCTAAATTTAGGCTCTGAAGCCCGGTCATGCAGAGTGCTAAACTGAAACTCTACATCATCATTTCTGTTGCATCAAGTTGTGGAACAAGTAGAACGATTTGGAAAACAAGCAGAAGTTTCATTTTACTTCTCCGATTTATATGACTCAAATAGCAAATTATATTTTAATGAATTATCAATAAGACCAAAGCAGCAATAAATATTGGTCTGCTGTACTTTGTTGGCTTAAATGCCGTGTGCAATGCAGTACCAGTACCGATGTTTTTCAATACAGCAATGAATCAAAACACACCTCCAGGCCAAGAAAGATTTGGCAAAAAAAAATATGCTGCAGTAAATGTCCTGGCCACCGAAATCAGCCAGTAGAGATGGTTTGTGGTCAGTTTGATCAGAAAATAAAGGAAAAGTATCCAGCAAGTGCTGCTCAGCATATGTGCAAACTCCTTCAAGATGGTCAGGAAAGCATTCCAGGTGGCTACCTCATGGTTCTGGCCGAGGGAACGCCAAAGACACAGAACGCACTATCGCCAGCACGTGCAAACATACCAGTTGTGGTTCACTGCCAAATATGGAGTACATAACGATGTTACAAGACATACGGGAGAAACACTTCAAAGAACATTATGTGTAAAGATAGGCACAGAAATAAAAATGCAAAAAGATGTATGCGCATGATGTGTCATGACAATAAATTAACGTAGTGCGAGAACGATAAATTAAACTAGTGCAAGAACAAAAAAAAGGTCACACTTTGCAGTGCAGGTTGAAACGATATTACACATATACCATGTCACACAAGGGACAGAGGGGGATTGTCGATGGAGGAAAGGTACTAAGCAAGTTTATTTAGGAGCTGGATGGCTACCCAAAAAAAGAGAGAAGCTGCGGAAATGGTGTGAGGTCCAGGTCAGGAACCTCCTCTGTGACGGCGGTTTGGTGGGCGAGGCAGACATCAAGGCAAAGGGTGGTTACTTCGTCAAATCTAAAATATAAGATTTTTTTGTAACTTTTGGTTTGATTATCACTCTTATAAGCACAGTATAACTTCACATTGGTATTTTCAGAATATTGATGTCTTCTCTTTTATTCTATAATGTATAAAATTGTAAAAACAAAGAATCCTTGTTATGTATATGTATTTTATCATCATTAGTGATATAACAATGCATATTATACTTATTTTGCTGTAAATAATGTAAATGTAAATGTTGGCCCAGTAAAATATTGACCAGAATCTGGACCAATTTCGGAGGGTCATATGAAAACTGACCAGAGCTACATTAATACTCCTGACTCCTGATGTAGAAACAGATTCCTTGCACTTAGAATATGTGCTAGAAACACGTTGAAGTAAAAAAGCAGTGTAATTCTGCTATGCTCTGGAGTTGGGCAAACTATTGCATGTGTATCTCTGCACCTCATTAGGAATGGACCGCAGCAGAGCCACTGATATGAACTTCAGACCACATCAAAAGAACTTTCCAGGAATGCATTGCTATGCTCAGTGTCACAGGCCAATTGTTCAATCTGAATTGTACATTCATCTGAATGGCATTTGCTTTTTTTAAAACCTAGTTTGCATTAACTGAACATTTACTCTTTTTTGGGATTTAACTTGCAGTAACATGATTTGACTGAATACAGATTCTTTATGCTTGGACTCATATGCATTAATCTCAGGGAAGGAATGCTATCCGGCACATTTTTCTGGGTTAATAAAACCATTACCCAGAGTTCCATGCTGATAGTAACGTACCAAGACCACTGTAGCTCAGACACAGGAGAAAATGTAGGTCTTTTGGATGTAAGTCCAGCAATATTGTAAGTGTTTTGTTCAAAGTCATCATTGCACATTTTGATGCATCATATCATGGGGGGGGGGCGATCAATGCACAGCATCAGTGAATCACAAGTTACACTTATTTGCATAAATGGATCGTTCAGATCCAGAAAGTAAAAATCCAGACTAAGGTTTTGTTTCAGCCAACCAGTTGAACATAGAGTCACAGTCACAGAGTATGCAACTGGTTGTTTGAAACAAAATCCCGGCATGGATTTTTACTTTCTGAACCTGAAGTAATCCCCTCTGTTCTTTTATGACCTATCATCATTCCAAGCGCATTTGATGGATTTGATGACCTGCATGGTTTGTCTTCGCATAATGAAGTTTGCAGAATTACCACTAGGGGGACAATGATTATTCTACCAAATGCATAAACTATGCACCCACATGCTTCTGCTGCCCCTTTCGGTTCTCGTGGTCTTTCATCACCACCAGATGGAGGCACTGACCAGGTGTGAGTTACCCCGCCCCCTTCTGGCAGACACACTGATCTTTCTTCAGCTCTTGTTAGGACTGTGATTTGGAGGATGGCTAGCGAACCACACAGGGCGATGTATCAATTAAGCTGGTTAGTAAATACAGCCAGTTGCAGATTGTGACATTTACCAGTCTGTTTACAGATTATTAGGAGGATAAGATTATTACTTGGATTATTACTTGTCATTTACAAGCTTAGCAGAATCCAGATACCCACTCACTGATCTTGCTCAACAGAACACCATGTGGTTCTGAGTATGGCACTCTGTAGGTGCAGGCCCAGGGCCCAGTGCCAAAAACGTCCACCCGTCCACTCCAGCACAGGGTGGAAAAAAGGGGCCTGGATTTCAGGCAGCAAAGGGCACAAGGAGCAGCCTAGTCAGAGCACAAGCATGGACAGACTGCTGGCAAATAGAGCAGCACCAAAACATTTCACTGAATGTCATTGAACTGCAAGAGATATGTGGCACAACACCAGGTAAACATACTCTGTACACACCCAGCCAACTCTCTTCTACTAAAAAAACTAAAGCTAAAGAACGGTAAGATAATGTTCACTGTGACAAATATTTCACCTGTTATATTCATCTGCTCTCTCAATCCCTTTCAATTCTCCCTGTCGTTCCCAAGGAGTGATATCATTGTGACTTAATCTTTACTGTGGGAAAGCAGATCAGTATAAATAAATAGTCTCTGCATCAGACCCATCTCAGATACCTCACCGTAAATGATAAGGCAGATTAAATCATGCTGGATGAGTCAGAATGGGAATCTCCTAATTCTGAAGTGGATGGTGCTGTTGGCCTCTCTGCTGTCTTCCTGCTGGATATGGAGCCACTTGTAACCTGAAGGTTGCTGGCTTGAGTAACAGGATAAACAGTGTAGTTGTACTGAATTACTCAGATGTTCACTGGATTCATTATAAATTGATAAGAAAAGCTGTAAGTAATTTTGGAAATTATAATGCAATGAGAGACTATAATAATGCTGTAAATCTAATACCGTCCCAATGTTTCTGCACCACTGAGGAGATGATCTGTAGGTGAGGGAGGGTGTGGAGGTACGCAGCCTCCTTCTGGTGCCTTCCGTTCCTCTGAGAAGGTGCAGCCTCACTTTAGTGTCCGTTATGCAGCCTTACTCCTCACAAAGGAACTTAAGTTCAGGTTCAGATACACCCACCTCCTACCCACTCAACAGACAGGATAAAATTAGACAGCTATTTAAAAAACTGGACCTGTCTCCACAAGTCCAGGGAGATCAGTTACTTTCAGTGGCCTCATTAAAATGGCAGGTGTTAAATCATGGCTACTATTAATCAAAACTGAGCTGCAGTTCATCCTCAGTACTAGCAAGAGCCTGCTTAACGTGCCAAACGCTAAGACATACTACAAAAAATGATACTACAAAAGCAAAGCTACAAAAAAACATGCAGTGCAGTAATTAACCAGAGAAGATTTTTCCCCCATCCCGCCACCTGATGGCGCCTTTTCATCCTGTGCTTCCATCTTCATTTGTAACCGCAGGACACTTTGTGGTACCTATGGACTCTGATAATTGGGCTATATTTTTGGCATTTTTACTTGAGTGAAAATGACTCCTCTGATGACCTCTGATGTTTGGTAAGAGCTGTCACCTACTCACAGAATTTCCAAACATCTTATTTAGCATGTACTGTACTTATAGTTGCCACCAATAGCATTTGCAAGCTTTCCCATTTGCTTTTGACTAATCACACTTGAATTATGTTAACAGGCGATTCCTGTATGCTTGTATTCCTCATTTTGCTATTAATGGATATATGGTGTAGGGGGGAAACAGAGAGATGAAACACACATACACACACACAGAGATATTCCTGATAACGATTCATAAAAGTGAAACCCTGACGATGAAGTAGAGGATGTCCAGATAGTTGTGAGGTCAAAGCCTTTAACCACAGAACCCATTGCTGTGTGTCTGACAAACAAACCAACTCCAGTGAAGTGCCTGAGCATTCTACCATCTGCCATGATGCACTGCTCATCAATCTCTCTGGGAAGTCTTGCTGGACTTTTCCCAGGGTAATTCCACACAAAGCCGCAAAGGTCATGCCTGCACGTAGGTCATTATGAACCCTACAGGTTTGCACTAGGTCTTTACTCCATGACACTTCATTACTATACACTTTCATCTACATCACCGTTTCTCAGACAGTCCACATTTTCGCTCCCTCCCAGCTCCCTGCCAGACAGTCCACATTTATGCACCAGTAGTAAAGATGGCATGAGGTGCCAAAACACTCCACATTTATGTAGTTCAGTGTTTCTCAATCCAGTCCTCAGGGCCCCCCTAGGGAGTCCATGATTTTGCAAAAATGTGGACTGTCTGGTAGGGAACTGGGAGGGAGCGAAAACGTGGTCTGTCTGGGGGTCCCCCAAGGACTGGATTGGGGAAACACTGATCCACATGAATGTGGAGTGTTTTGGCAGTTCATGTGAGGAAACAGCTGGTCCTAAAAGGTAAAGCAAGTTGCTCTTTAAGCAAGTTTGGATACCAGAGTCTTCTGAACAAAATAGTGAGCTAACAGCATTGTAACATGAGCCTTTTTGAACATATAACTAAAAATATTGAGCCCAACCTGTTCTGTTTTTTGAGGTCTCCTTGATGTCTGCGTGCCGAATGATGGCCAGTGAGTGAGAAATACCACTGCAGTCTGATAAACTAAATCGGGGGCCAGTTGGGAGGAAGTCAGAGCCGAAAACAGAAATTGTTTGCAAATATCTGTAAATAAAGGCCCCCGTCATGAGGCCTTATGGGCTTCATGGAGGGAATACAGAGCGTGAGTCTCGGAGGTCATTAGGTATACACACTCAAAGTGACAGACAGGCAGCACTGTGTAAATAGCATCTAAATTAAATGGCAATGTCTACATGGATCAGTTGGATAAGCAATTGGAAGATGGATTGATGGACGGAAAATCCTCAGGGTATGTATCTATGGCTTTGGAAATTTGTCATCCCGTGGGAGTTGCAGGGGTTGCTGAAGCGAATGCAGCAAACTGAGCATGAGTTTGCGCCGGTACCCTTTTCGAAGACAATCTGCGTGTCTGGTTTTGAGGCTGTACAGGAGAGAAATAGGTTCAGGCGTGAGAACATAAGCACTATAGCACGAAATCATTCTTTTTCCTATTTTCCATGATGTGGCCGTGGTACGTGTGTCTTTAAGAAAAGGCATGCAGAATGTGGCGAGCTGTCATCGGTGCTTCGGGCCATGTGAGGCACGCCCGGCAGCCCCGGCACCGTCTCCCGAGGTTCTGCTGGATGCCAGACGGGGGACGACACACAGCCAGACACTCAAAGAGACGACCAGAAGATGGGTGAGAGCTCAACAGCATGATTACCCAATGCAGTTTGGACAAGCACGAGCATTCTGATGTACTTCCTGCAGTCCTCAGACCGATGTGAAATTAATGAGAGGAATGTACTTAAAATATATTTATTCACATTTCAAGTTATCCTGCTTTCTATGGAACAGTAAAAGAACAGTAAACTAGAATGAATAAGAAAGCAAATTAATAAAAGAGTATTATTCTTTGTGAAAGCATTAACGTGGATGAAATAGAAGCCTGTCCTGAAGAACCTATTCTACATATTTTCAACATACTTCACATACACTTTGGAAATAACCTAATTACAGAAATGCAAGTATGACTTTAATTAAACAGAATGAAAGCCACCGAACACTTCTTGCAATATGGTTATAACATAAACCAGTGTGTCATCATCATCTTCTTCTTCACTTTGTCAGGGACACAGTGGCTGAGCAGGTCAGATCGGGACAAGGTCACAGACTCCATTTTATTCTGGAGGATCCCCCGATCTTACCGTCCCAGCTTGGAGATATGATCCTTCCTGCATGTCCCGGGTCCACCCCTGCCGCCTTCGCCCAGCAGGACACTCTTGGAACAGGTCCCACTACCTCAGCTGACTCTTCTCAATCTGAAGGAGCAGCAGCTCTATTTCAAGTTCACACCGGATCTCCGAATTTCTCATCCTGCAATGGAGAGTGAGCCCACCAACCACGGCAGAGTCATTTTGGCTACTTGTACCCCTGATGGTTTTCTTTAAGGCTTTAATCTTAGCTCATATGTGGAGATCGTTTTCCAAGGGCACATCTTAGCCTCAGATTCTCTCTAAAATGATAAACATGAGCCACTTTTAACGGAGGTCAATTACTTCATTATTATAATCATCATTATTATAATCATCATCATTATTATTATTATTATTATCATTATTATTATTACTACTACTTGTTGTTGTTACTAAATATTGCACTGCCTTTGCAGCAGATTTATATATAAAAACCGACATGGGCAGATTGTAATTGTCATAGCTGGACTGTCATTGAAAACGTCATCGGACAGAAAGCGTCTCGTTACTATGGCGACGGCCGGCTCGGCACGCATTACGGCGCTCTGTGACGTTTATAACCTGCGACTGTTAGTGTTTCTTTTCTGCAACTGTCACGGTGCAAAGGTAAAGTTGTAGCAGATTCGGTAGCAGTTTCTTCTGTTTAACTACCACACTTTTAACTTTAGAATAATAGCTTTTAAAGAAATTAGCGTGTTATTTCCTCGCTTCTCTAAACCATATTTTAAAAATTGATAACATAGCTTCAGCAAGTGTGCGAATAGTCAAGTGAAACTTTAGTAGTTAGCTATTAATTAAATTTGAACAAATATCGTATTTATTTCATGCAAAATCACATCTACGTCTGTCTGTTCAGCCGCCCAAGTTATATATTGAATATTTAAAAAAAAAAATTAAAAATCGCTTTTCTTCTCTTAGGCAAAAATGAACAGTGAAAACTTTTCGATAAGTGAGAAGATTGTGTCGGCCTCATACATTCGGCAGGGATTGCAGGCACGTCGCAGTCATGAGCAGCTGATAAGACTGCTGCTGGAACAGGTACCGTTACATACAGCGCTTAAGCTTTAATATGAGGGCTCGCTAAGCAGGGGACCTCCTGTAAGAAACAATGGTCGTTAATTGTATAGTAATTCGCAATAACGTGAATACAAGTCATTTCCAACTAGAAGACGTGTTACAGGCTGCGGCATTTAATTGTCTCCGAAGGGGAAGTGTCCAGAAGAGGGCTGGAGTGAGAGCACGGTCGAGCTATTCCTGAACGAGCTGGCGGTGATGGACAGCAACAACTTCCTGGGGAACTGTGGGGTCGGGGAGCGAGAGGGCAGGGTGGCGTCCAGCCTGGTGGCCAGGAGGCACTACAGGTGAGCTCAGTCTCATCCCTGAGGGTGGAAAACAGTTTAAAAAGTGTTAATATAAAGCAAACTTCAGGTCTAACTGGGCTGGTGATTAATCTGTTCTTCTTACTACAGTAATATAGTCAATTTCATTGGTAGAATGAAGTGCTGAGTGCTTGTTTCTGTAGGCTCATCCATGGGATTGGCCGCTCTGGGGACATCGCTGCCATCCAACCAAAGGCTGCGGGTTCAAGCCTGCTGAACAAGCTTACCAACTCCGTGGTGCTGGATGTTCTAAGAATGGCCGGTGCGTTGAGGTTGTTAGACATCTGCCTTTATCCATTTAGATCAGGGCTATTCAAATCATGGCCCTCAATGTCCAGGCACTGCTGTTTTTCTGACCTGTGAAGCCTCTGTGCGCAGTCAGAGTCAGTAATTATTAAACTAACTACCTGAAAGAACTGAACACATGGCCTGGATTTGTAACCGAAGACCAGACTTGAAGAGCCCTGATTTAGTTGACAAAAGTTTAATATAGTTCAGTGAAGTTCTGCTTCACTTTTGCAAATGGAGATGGATGAGTTTGCTCTCTGATGTGTCTCGGTGGTTATCGGGGTCTGAGCAGATCAGGCAGAGCTACGAACAGCTGATGGTTTGCTCATCTGTGGCCGCAGGTGTGCGAAGCACGTCCAGCTGCTTCGTGGTGCCCATGGCGACGGGCATGAGCCTGACGCTGTGCTTCCTGACCCTGAGGCACCGCCGGCCCAAGGCGCGCTACATCATCTGGCCGCGCATTGACCAGAAGTCCTGCTTCAAAGCCATGGTCACGGCAGGTGAGCAAGGAGCCCCGTCCACTTTCAGTAAGACCCCGCTACTCTATAGAGCTCAGTCACAAAGTGAAATGAACCAAAACACCTAAACGACTTGATTTCCTGTTGAGTAACCATTAAAAAAATTGCAGGGATCTGGTAAGCAATGAAGAGCTAAGATCCAGTAATTGAATAACTGCTTTGATCGTCATTTTCCTGTTTGGTTTCCATTACATTTGTCTGATGCTTTACAATTTTATATTTTATGTTTGCAATTTATATGGGCTCTTGGGATTTGAACCTATGACCTTTGTGTTAAAAGTGCAACACTCTACTTGTTGAGCTATTGGTTTCCTGGGTGTGATGTGTGTCATTCCAGCTGCAGTGACATTCAGTGTTTTTTCTACATTTCTGGAGCTGCGATTCTGCGCAGGTCGTTTTCAGGATTGGTGTTGCTGCTCTCGGTCAATCAGGACTTGGGCGGAAGCATTATACTGTCTGGGGTGTAAAACAGAAAAGCCAGAAACAAAAGAAATAGTCCCAATACATTTCCTTTTCTGTTGTGGTTTGAATAATTAGGCAAAAAGTGCAGATGTTCTGTGTAAACAATGAGTTGTGAGCTTGTATAAGCATCCAAGTCTGCACTTTTTTTCTGTTTCCATAGTTTGCTTTAAACAGGAGCCATGCGTTGACCTGGCCATTCTCTGACGTTCTTTGGGTTGGGTGGGGGCCGGGTGCCGGGCAGGTTTTGAGCCCGTGGTGGTGGAGAACTTGCTGGAAGGTGACGAGCTGCGAACAGATCTGGAGGCAGTAGAGAGGAAGATCCAGGAGCTGGGTGCCGAGAGTGTCCTGTGCGTCCACTCCACCACGTCCTGCTTCGCCCCCCGTGTCCCTGACAGGTACCTGCCACCTGCATGACCTGCTTCGAGCAGCAGGTGGCACTGTAGGAAACACCCCTGGTATTAGCCCCAAAGAACATAAGAAATTTACAAACGAGGGGGGGGGGGCATTCGGCCCATCAGGCTCGTTTGGGGAGAACTTAACTAATAGCTCAGAGTTGTTAAAATCTTATCTAGCTCTGATTTAAAGGAACCCA